TGCTGCATAACCTTAAAAACCCTAAACCCTAAACCTGTATACTGCTTACCATGTCAGTTTGGTCTGTTGGTCTGTTGGTCCCGGACTAATCTCTAAACCCAAAACCCTAAAGCCTAAACCCAAAACCCTAAACCCTAAAGCCTAAACCCCAAACCCTAAACCCTAGAACCCCTCGAGCCGACATAGCCTTAATCTCTTAACCCCAGCTATTTTGAGTATGAAGCTACTGACTAAGGCTAGGTACCCCAGTAGTACCGTTTTTCCCCTTTTTATTTTGTGGTTTCCTTATTAAAGCTGAACATTCTGAAGCAGGGTACCCTTATCATTAAGGGGTTACTGGGGAACCTAGAAAGACCCCCGTGACCTTCCAAGCAGGACGTATTTTTGGCAGCAGGTTTTGGACATTGCCGCTGACACAGCCACATACATTGGTACATCTGTCCAGCGCCGGTTCAAAGTCTTGCCCGACCGTAGCTTGCCTTTCTGCGGCCTATTGATGCTTAAGGGGGAGTGGGGGAGTCAATATATAGAAGTATCATGAAGATATAGTCCCCCTTAAGTAGATAGAATATGGCTTTGGGTAGATTATAATAGGATTCCCATATACCCAATATTCTATCTACTTAAGGGGGACTATATATGACAAGATCATATATGGATTCTTATAGGGATCCACTCCCCGGTCCCCGCTAAGCACCCGTAAGGAGGCTGACCTCCCGCCTGCTAAGGTAGTACAAGAACATCCATTCAAGGGCTTCAGGCTTGTAACCCTAGGGTTGTACGCCTATGGGATTACGTTGACTCATAGGGGGCTAAATGTTGGCCGTATTGGCGGGACTTTTTTTTTGGTACGACCTTATTGGCACAACCCAGGAACCCCTGATACATACGCCGAAAGCTAACCCTTGTAAAAACCTAGCTAGATACTGAACACCTGAGGTAACTTACCTTTTTTACGTTTTCAGAGTACAACCTTCCTGCACCGAACGCCTTGCCTGAGGTCACTTCGAAATTTTTGGAATGGACCTTATGTTGGACAAAAAGTTCAAGGCTTCTGGGTATCGTTTCGATATGTAGGGACATATAGGGCTCAGGGATTACGATAAAGTTCAAGGTTTGTTGGTGAGAGTTTTCCATGGCTTTAGCACTTTAGATCCTTTTCCCTAGACGCTTAACCCTAAACTCCTAAAACCCTAAACCCTAAACTCCTAAGCCCAGAAACCCTATCGTAGCCCCATGAAACAAGGTTTGGATGTGCGAGGTCAACACTGACCCTGGCCTTGGTTATCCAGACAAGGATCTAATGTCTGTCATAGGGTTTATGACGGGCTTGTTGGGATTTAATTTAGAATTTAGGGTTTAGGATTTGGGTGGTTCCCAAATTAGACGTACCTTCTGGGGGTAAGGTTATAGTATTTAATTGGTCTACATTGCGCGTTCTTTTCTGGGGGTGTATACAGTTTTGGGGCCTGTAGGGAATACGAGGTCTTGGTCCCCCAGTAGTAAGAATGGAGGGACGCGAGACAATCAGAAGCAACATGGAACAGCGACTGAGATTGTTTGGCGATATGTAGGGATCTAACCCTAAATCCTCATCCCTGAACCCAGTTCCTAAACTCGAAATCCTAAGGGGACCCTGCAAGGCTCGTTTGAAGTTTCATAGACTTAAGTACTTGGGCTTATAGCCCTGCTGATTGCCACTCTGAATGGGCTCATGTAGGTTACACCAAATACAAGTAGGGTAATCGTCCCAGTTGTAAGTAGCTACTAAGTCCCCAGGAACCCTCAAGTACGGTTAAGTGTCTCATTCTTTTTGAGCTGAACCTCATTTTGGGTGATGGCAACAGCTGTGAGAGCTTTCGTGTAAGGAGTCTAGTCTCTTTCTCTTTCCTAGGGTAAGAATCCCCCCCCTAATATCAAACCACCCACCCCCTAGTACTAAGTGTTCTTAGTAATGTTGGATCTTGATTAGGGTGGCTCCCCCAAACGAAAAGGCCTCTAGCAAGAAAACAGCCTCAACACAAATTGGGGTTTGGGGGATCCTACGGCGCCTCTTAAGATTCAAATTCTTAAGGAATTGCTGAGTTTAGTTTTTAAGAGAGTAGGTCCTTGACAAAAGAGCTCGCCTTTCTTTTTAAAGGCCTGGCCTTCAAAACCAGTTAAACCAACAATCACAGTCTAATCAAGATGAGTGGGACATCTCATTGAATTGAAATTCAATGAAAACAAAAAGAGCTAGAATTAAACGCAAGTAAAAGCAAATTACAATGGCCTCACGATTAACCCACCATATATACATATGCATATATATGATTGTTGAGGACCAGGGGCCTGCTGGACTACCCCCTCTGGAATTTCATTGCCTAGCCCTTGTGAATTCCCGGTTTGAGAAGAAATCGGTGACTTTTTGGGTAGCATCAGGTTCCAGGTTCCAAAGAGAATCCCTAAACCCTAAACCGCTTTCATATTTGTCTAGCTTTTTCAAGCCAGTAGCATTCTGGCCTCAACATAAACCATCCCCAGGTTTTTTGGCAGAAAAAATCGCTTAATTGACACACCACACCCCAAAAGTTCTGAAAGCTTTGATTTACTGCCCCTTGCCCCTTCCCCAACCCCCCGGCCCACCGCATTAATCGGGATTGAACATTATGTTATGAATACTACGTGTGGAAAAATCTGATGATTTTCGGAGGTTGGTGTGTGTTTAATATTAAGGGGCATTTTTATTGTCCACGTGATTCTCTAGTATGAGGCGGTAAGTCTCCCTATACCATTCCCTACATGCGCTAAGCCCTAAACCCTGTCTTCATCCTGGGGTAAGACGGTACTCGCCCACCGCCAAGAATACCCCCCGACCCCTGTACTAACCAAAATTCCCCTTGACGTATATCATAATGCGAAAATATTGGGGGTGTTATTGTTAGGTGGTCGGGGGGACTTTCATCTTACGAGGACAGAATTCTCACATAATACCACAGTTTCCATTCCATGTTCCATTCCTTTTCCGTGCGATTCTCCACTATTGGGGTAAAGGACCCTACGCCCTAAACCCCAAACCCAAACCCTAGATCCCCTGAAGGAGGTCCTGGGCAGCCCAAACCCAGACTACAAGAAGGAGCTGACGGCCTGTGCAGAAACCCTGCACCTGGGTGGTTTAGGGTATAGGAGGTTATGGTTTAGGGGGTTAAGGGTTTATAGGGTTTACTAGGGATCATAACGGAGTATACAGGGATGTATAGGCATAATGCAGAATGAAATGGAAACTTGGGTTACAAATTTATGTACATGCAACACAAATGTGCTTGTGGAGGACAGCCATGTTTTTTGGGGATAGGCTTATGGTTTATGATTTCATGTTTTGGGATTAAGGTCTAGGGTCTTGAATCTAGAGCTATCACATGACTCATAATTTCCAAAGTTTGGGGGTTGGGGTTACCAAATAGACCCTTGCTCCCTGAAACTTGAACCCGAAAGCCAAAAAACAAAAAAAACTGAAGGCTCTAAACCTTAAGGCCCTCGGCACTAAAGCCTCAAAGCCCTAAAGCTATGGATTTAGGGTTTGGGGAGATTAAAGCAAGAATTTCACAGGCCTAAACCCTAAACCCTAAACCCTAAACCCTAAATCTTAAACCCCAAACCCTAAACCCCAAACCCTAAATCCTAAACCCTAAACCTGAAACCCCAAACCCAGGCACGACGTGTTTGCGCTTCTTGGCCTGGACTCGGGAGTGAAGCAAACTCAGGGATCCCTGCGCCATTGGTCCCTTACCTGATTTGTGTTTGGGGTTTGGGGATTAGGGTTTAGGGTTTGGGGATTAGGGTTTAGGGTTTAGGGTTTGGGGATTAGGGTTTAGGGATTTAGGGTTAAGGGTTCAGGGTTTTATTGGGATAATGGAAAAGAAAATGGAAGCTACAGGGATTATAGGGGTTATAAAGGGATTATAGGGGTTCCTGATTAGTATTTGGGGTTTTGGGGATTAGGGAACTATAAGGATTACAAGGATTCTATGGGGGTTATTTTGGGGTTATATAGGGATAATGGAAAGGAAAATGGAAGCTACTGGCTTAGGGTTTAGGGGGTTCGGGGTCAGGGCTTAGAATTCTAGTTTAGGGTTTAAGATGTGAGTTACGAGTTTAGTGTTCAGGGATTTAGGTTAGGGTTTAGGGGGTAAGGATTGAGTTCAAGGTTTAGGGCTTAAGCTTTAGGATGTAAACTTTGGGTTTAGGATGAGGGGCTAGGGTTTCCTCTACCTATCCTTTGATAACCTGTACGTTAAGGGCTTAGGGTCTAGAGTAGTTACGACTTAGGATTGGAGATTTGAGGCCGAAGCACCCTCCCCGAACTAACATGGAGCGCCATATAGTCTACAGCCTTTCAGGAACTTCTGGGGGGTTCCATGTTAGCTTGGGAGGGGAACCTGTAGGTTTTGGGCTAAGGGTTTGTATTGTAGAGTTTAAGGTGTAAAGTCTTTAAGGTGGCTATGGGGGTTAAGGTTCTTCTCTGCAGGCAAGATCATGAACAAGAGGATTTGGGTAACCCCAACCCACAAAAACGGTGCCTGCTATAGCTACATGATCTCGCAGGGTTTGAAATTTGAGATTGCGGTCACGCAATGAAGTAACCTTTCGGTTGCGGTTGGAATGTGGAAGTAAAGCAAGTCCCTATATAACATTAACAAAGCCGTGGATACTGGACACCTTAGGTTCAAGGTCGATATACAGCGGGCAAATGAAGCGCTTTGACGCTGTGAAGTAGGCGCCTCCGCCTGAATTTGCCTGAATCCTATGAACGGCGTTCCTGAGGACGTGTTGTCCCTTTTGTCTGGACTCGTCCCATGCATGCAAGAGCCGCTGCCTTTTGTATTTTGTAAGCTTTCGCGCGTGTGCGCACTGCACGGCGCTGCGAGGAACAAGCGCGCCAGTGCCTAATCCAGGGCAACGGAATAATGAATTTGCACTCTACTTGCCTTGCCTTCCTTCACGCCGACCTTTTGCGACATGTTTCCCATGGGGGCCCCGTGGCTCTTAAACTCCTGCAATGTTTTTTCGAAGGATGAAGGAAGGCGTGCGCTTGCATCCCGGTTTAAATGCGGGGTACGGACTTGCACAGATTGGCGCACAAGGTCAGTCTGCAATTCGTCTGTCAATACCTGCCCGCAGGGCACCGCTGTCCTGCTGGACTGACTGAAATGCTGCAAAGTTCCGCTGCGCTTGTTTAGGGATATGCCCCCGTAATGGAGAGTAAGGGGACAAACACACGGGACATTATGTCGAAACTTTCTGTAATATGTTAATAAGGATTTTTGAAGCAAGTTGCAGGTTTTTAGTACAGCTTGATGCAGGGGTACGGTTCCTGCATGCCTTGCAAATAAACAGCAGGTCTAGTGCTACAAGCTTCCATAAGATAAGCAACTAGCATCTAGGGCCAGGTGGCTAGCATTAGCATTGCAAGCTAGCCCGTGACACAGCTTCTGTACAGCATTGGCGCTGATCCTATGAGGGCCGCCTCTACCAAACGAGCACAACCACGACGCCTGCTACTTGTTTCAGGTAGGGATTGTAATATTTATCCTAATACTAAGGCCCTTAACAGGAGGGGGTTTACAAATCATGGGTTTAGGTCAGTAAAGATCGTTCCTTCCTATTCTAGGGGACCCTAAAACCCTAAACCGCGTATATGCATTTTATAGACGCTGATAGAATACTGGGAGGGTCATGGGGACTTAATAAGTACAGTAGGTTAACAACTAGGATAACTAGGGTTACTATACGGGTTATAGGGGTTATTAATTAACCTACTTACTAAGTCCCCCTGACCCTCCAAGTTTGCGTCAAGTTCTTCGGCCGGAGTTCAAGCCGGCCTCGTAGACAAATAGCAGCACAGGGTTTAGGGTTTAGGGTTTAGGGTTGGGTTTACTCCCCTCCCCTTGATATCCAGGTTTGGGGTTAGGGTTTACTGTGGTCTCTTTAGGTATTCGGAGTTATTTTCCATCTTTTAAGTATAGTATAACTCGAAGGCATTATCAAACATAGCATTTCTACTGTAGGTCTAAGGAGACTACAGACTAACAGTAGTAGTGATTGTACTGATGACAATACTAGCGATCATTGTAGGAAGAATAGTGGATAATTGATGAATCATAGTAGTAATACTTTTTCATACTTCACATGCTAATCGTAATGATACATGCCTAATACTGCACGCATCGTCGTAGTAAGTGTCGCTGGAATTTCACATAGGCAGAAGTAAAAATGCCAAGTTATTTGCACATAAGGGCAGTAATAGTACCTTAATAGTAGTCCCTAAACCCTAAACCCTAACCCCTAAACCCTAAATAGTAATAATTCCTGAAGAAATTACGCTGCTTTCATGGAACTGCAGGATGCGCAGGAAGGTAACATGGAGGCAGGTGCTGCAAAGTTGTTGTTCTTGCCCTGCTTTAGGGTTTAGGGTTTAGGGTTCAGGGTTTAGGGTTTAGGGTTTATTCTACCTTACAGCAAGGTAGAGTTTCGTATTTAGGCTATTAGGGCTTAGGGCTTTCTATGCAGGGCCGATTGTAGTTCCTATGATCAACTGCGGAAACTGTTGCTGTAAGTTGCAATTACTCGAAAGATCTTCTCTGAGCAGCTGTGCTGCAACACGGTGACCTATTTCATACCATAAGAGGAAGAACAACAACAATGAAAATAGCAACGCTAGTATTAACAGTCAGTGTTAACAACAGTAGCAACAGTAAAGCCCTTCTATTCCAGCAGTGGAGCTCAAGACATCTCCGAGCAAGATCAGGTTCTTGGTTTAGGGATAGCACCAACGGAAATCTCCACCATCTCCCAGGACATGATTGCTGAGCCTAAGATCTGAATATCTAATGCATTGCCGAAAAGTAGCCTAGTGGGCCCGTGGACTGTCCTTGTCCTGGACCAAATCTAAGCTCTGTAAGGATGACACCCACAAATAACAACGTTAATCCCCGCCACCAACAGTAAACCCCCAACCCCCCTTACATCGAATATTCTCATGATGTTATACTATCATACATTGGGAATATATTGCGGGTGGGGGGAAACTGCTATGAAGAGATGATTCATAAACATGTTGTAGCCTTCTGTACGTGCCTGGCTTAAGTATGAAATGGAAGGTACCATTTAGAGTTCTTGGTTCTTAGGACTTTATTGCTTTGGACTTCCTATCTGTTAGTATCAGTGTTTGAATTGGCAGGCTAAAAGCTTATGTTGTAGGAGGGGGCAGTCAGCTACGTATTTGTTGGATGTTTATCATTCGCCGAGGGAGGCTGTCATCAGGAAGATGTGGGCCACTTCCGTAATCCCAGTTTCTTTCACATGTCCAATTTCATGTTCATGTGCTTCTTCATTCTTGGGGAGAGGGGATAGGGCGCGCGTTTTGACCATCACCTTGCTGATGCTTAAGGGAGCGCGCAGCACTGGACGCCCAAACCCTAAACCCTAAATCCTAAACCGCGTCCGGATATATTCACAGCCCCGCTCCCTCTTGAACTTACCTTTGGTTCGCTGGGAATGAAGGAACGGAAAAGAAAATAGAAACGAGTATAATGGTTTATATAAGGACTACTACATTCCTAGAGTAAACTCTAAACCCCTGAATCCCTCAGTTAATGGTATGTCAAAGCTTCTGCGACCCCTGCAGTAAATCCTCAGGCACAAGCGCAAGGGACCAAGCACCTCAGAACAGCAGGCGCGGTCCTGTTCATGCCTTGCATACTATGGCTAGTACTGCTTGCATAGTTCTGTTGATTGGAGAGAATGATTCAAGATTCGAAGCACTACTGATCCCTTCCACCTAAAAATCCTAGGAACTTGCCCCCTAAAATCGTTCCCAGCAATCCCTTCCCCCTTAATATTAAATACGGGTTAGCCACAATTCCAAATTCTGAAATCTGTCCCTGAGACTATCTTTTTAAGCGCCACGACTAAAGTTAATTGCGGTTCGGATCCTCTGAATTAGGTTTTTTTTGGCACGACTCTTTGAGGATGAGGGATCTCTTTGATTTCCTAGATTTTGATTGTTCTTGAATGCTGTTTATAGAAGAATTTATATAGAAGAAATCCAACAACAGATTCCAAGGCCCTAATTTGGAATAGCCCCTACTAAGGCCCTAACTTGAAATTGTCCCTAATACGGCCCTAATTTGGAATAATCCCTTACCAGGCCCCAATTTGAAATAGTCCCTGATAAGGCCCTGCTTCAAAGTAGTCTCTATAATACGGCCCTGATGTGGAATAATCCCTAATGGAGCCCTAATTTGAAATAGTCCCTAATAAGGCCCTAATTTGAAATAGTCCCTTATTAGATTTAATTGAATCTTACATGATGTTAGCCAGATTTCTATTTACCCACCCTAATGTTCTGGTCGTACGATTTATTCTCCCCCCTTAACTACGGTTCCGAGTATTTACTTTAGGGGCGGGGTGGAGTCATTCAATATAAAGGATTATAGTATATCAGTTTCTTATAGCTGGAATGAATGTTGAGATTCACGGGCTGGGGGGGTTCAGTATCAGGCGGAAGGGACCAGAGCCCCATGATTCAGGCAGCCCCTGAACCCTAAACCCTGTTCGGCGCCTGAGACCAAAACCCATCCTACCGGGCTTGAAGAGTGAAGGAGACACACGGTTTAGGGTTTAGGGTTTAGGGCGCAAGAATGGAGAGTTTGTATGTTGGCCCTGCAGGCTTGAGCTGAGTGACCATCATCCAGTCGGCGCGCCCGACTTTGCACTGGG